GACATGATAGCACTGTTCCAATATCTAAGGGGTTTCCATAAAGAAGAGGGAGTCAAGATATTCTCCAAAGCACCTGAAGGCAGGACAAGAAGCAATGGGTTGAAACTAATCAAGGAGAGAATCAACTTAGAACTAAGGAAAAATTCCCTGACAGTGAGAACAATTAATCAGTGGAACAACTTGCCTCCAGAGGTTGTCAATGCTCCAGTGTTTTTAAGAATTTTTAAAGAAGAGATTGAACAACGATTTGTTTGAGGTAGTCTTGAATAATCGTCTGCTTGTCTCCTGCCGTTCAAGCATCAGAGGGATGAAAGGAGCTGCAGGTTTTTTCCCCCACAATCGGATCTAATCAGCTAATTAGTATTCCTGGATTGGAGTCAGGGACACCCTTGACAGCTTGGGGCCTTAGCAGACAGGCAGTCCAGCACATGGTCCTAGCAGATGCAAAGCCAGGAGGTGGTTAGAGAACAGCCTTTGGCTCCAGAGATACCAGCAGGCAAGACAGCACTTATCATTTTGCCAGGAGGACTTGTTGAAAGGCAGAGTTCAATATAGATCCAGTCTCCAAATGAGAAAGGCAGAAGAAGATTCAGAGGCAGGAGACAAAAGTAGAGGGTGATGGTGTTGTTGTTAGTTGCGAAGTCATGTCCCACCCATTGTGACCCCATGGACAACATTCTTCCAAGCCTTCCTGTCCTCTACCATCATCGGGAGTCCATTGAAGCTCACACCGACTGCTTTGGTGACTCCATCCAGCTACCTCATTCTCTGCCATCCCCTTCTTCTCTTGCCCTCCATCGTTCCCAGCATGAGGCTCTTCTCCAGGGAGTCTTCCCTTCTCATTAGGTGGATAAAGTATTTGACTCTCATTTTCAGGATCTGGCCTTCCAAAGAGCAATCAGGGCTGATCTCCTCTAGGACTGACCGGTTTGATGGCCTTGCAATCCAAGGGATTTGCAGGAGTCTTCTCCAGCACTGGAGTTCAAATGCCTCCATTCTTTGTTGCTCAGCCTTTCTTATGGTCCATCCTTCACAGCCATCGATTGCAACTGGGAAAACCATAGCCTTAACCATACACACTTTTGTTGGCAGGGTGATGTCTCTGCTTTTTAGGATGCTGTCTAGATTTGCCATCGCTTTCCTCCACAGGAGCAAGCGTCTTNGAGTCTGGTGGCAGCTCCAACGGCTCCTGCTGGGCCACAACAGGTTGCTATGGGCCCGCTCCTCCCCTTTCAGTCATTGGCTGTTGCCCTCTATGGCTTTTGGTATGAACTGCAAGAGAAACCAGAGTCACAGTTTCTACAGAGACATATTAACATACACTCTGCAAAGAACCATTCAAGCATTACATGGGCTCCTTAGAGACATTGGAAAATCTACTATCAAATCCACAACTACAGAACCAGTTCCAAATAGTTATATATGAATTTTAGTTCTGTAGACTTCTATTGTGGGCTCCAATTTGGTGTAAGGGTTAAGACACTAGGTAAGCAATCAGGAGACCATGAGCTCTACTCCCACCTTGGCACAAAACCAGCTGGATGACCTTGTGCCAGTCATTCTTTTTCAGCCCTAGGAAGGAGGCAGTGGCAGACCTCTTTTGCAAAGCCTTGTCCAGAAAACCACAGGGGACATGTCCAGGCAGTCGGCAAGAGTCAAAACTGGTTCAAATGCACAAAAATAACATATATTGCATTTCTAATAATTGCTAGCACAGTACTTTCCAATTATGCATTTCTTTACATCAATATCCCAGAAGATTTTCTTTCTGTACTGCATTCTAGATAGGAAGTAGGAAGCATTCTAGATTTTGAATGTTGAATGTTTATTTAATTTATTTTCCATGGAATTCTAGAGAGACAGTAAACCCTCCATTTAATGGATCTCAGTTTAGTGCATTTCAACTAAACCAGGGGTGAAATTCAGCATGTTCTGACAGAACCGGCAAATACCACCTCTAGCTGGCCCCAGAGTCGGGCGGGAATGGAGATTTTGCAATATCCTTCCCCTGGAGTAGGGTGGGAATGGAGATTTTGCAGTATCCTTCCCCTGGAGTAGGGTGGGAATGGAGATTTTGCAGTATCCTTCCCCTGCCACACCTATCAAGCCACACCCACAGAACCAGTAGTAAAAAAATTTGAATTTCCCCACTGAACTAAACCAAGATTGATGCATGGACTGAAATCTGGACAGTAGGGTTTTATGCCAGCTGACCAGTGGCGGGATTCAGCCAGTTCGTACCTATTCAGGAGAACCAGTTGTTAACTTTCTAAGCAGTTCGGAGAACCGGTTGTTGGAAGAAATATTTTGTTTTTTCCCCACTTTACAGGGCTAATCCTGTAAGGAAGGCAGGAAGG